TAATCTACTTGATTTCGCGAATGGTAAATGCGGTGACGAATTTCTTATCGAAGAGTGGAAACCGTTCCGGGTCCGCGGAAAACAACATTCAGTCACAAAATTAGACCTTGATTGTATTTCAGTGTAATACTGTATAATGTGTGTGTATGCGTAAAAGAGAGGAACTTACCGATGGAGATCTTGAAAATATAATTAAAATCCGAACGTAAAAGCAAGCAAGACGTCGATCATGAAAAATTTCAGAGACATTATCGTCGTACACGAGAACTCTCAAGCTGAATTGAACAGACGAACATATCGTAATCGCGCTAGTTAAATACAATTGCTTGCATCAGATTGAGTTTTTCGTATAAAAGATTTTTTGTGGACTCTACTGTGGCGTCACGATAACTAAGACTATGCATGTTTGGTTTTAATATATGGTCGAATTTGAGCGCTTGTAGCGCAGTGGATAAAGCTGGGCGTTGTAATACACATGGTTCTTTGGTTCGATCACGTACCATGAGTAAACGACGTGCTCTAATTCTCTGAGGCCGCCAGTTTGTTGCCAGACTTGTCTGGGAAGATAGTGACACTGACTTAGTGCCTCTATGACATCAGTCATCTCCACAGCACTACGAATGTAGTCAAATGCATGGCAAATCCCTGAAGGGTTGAGCGATGCAAAATGCTTTACGCTTTATACCTGGGAATTAGGATTAGAGCGTTGCTGTGAAGTCATTTAGATATTTGATTAAATATGCTGCATGTCAATATGATCATTCTAGGCCATGTAGAAATTGGGATTTGTCGAAAGTCAAAGTGTTATGAATTGAATATAGTGCTAGCGATCGCATTTGGCTCACATAAACAACAACCATTTGGGAAGTGCTCCAACGCTAACAGAAAATCGGTTGTGGAATTGATTTGGTAGGATAAAAATATTGTTATGTAAATTAAATCGTGCTTTTACTATGAAAATAAAAAAGCCTAATAACGATGATGTTTGACTATTTTCTAACGAATCATAGATTCTATGGAGATGTAAACCAACCGGGTTGCACTTCCTTGTCTATTTTCTAGAATGACCCTAGTATTTAAAAACACAGCTGAAACTTGGAACTGAACATTGACAAGAGGGCGTATGACTTGGTGGTAAGGAGCGAGAAGAAAGTGTTAAACATTATATAGACACCAAGATAGTTACTGTATATTAAGAACTTTATAGAAACCAAACGGCGCGTGTGGCGTAGTGGTCGGAGACGCACTGCAATACACATGGGTTTGACACGGCGTCCCAAGTTCACCAAACCTTCTATCCCTTCCGGATCGGTAAATTGGTACCAGATCTGTCTGAGAGGATAGCAGCAATGACTCGATAGGCCTCAGTAGGCCCCGGCGGGTCATTGCGTCAGATATGCATGGCGCATCCATCAGGAATTGGTTAACGCCGAGAGTTTTACACTTTTACTAAACGTTGACAAACATTTTACTCATAACTCATTCCACTTTTTAATTAATACAGAATTCGTTGGGCTAAGTTCTAATCCAAATGGAACATTTGAAATCTTTATCTTTTGTTCAATTTTCTGCCATGAAAGGGCATTCTTATATGCAAGCATATCTGACGTGTTGATTCGAACGAAGAGCAGAATAAAATGACTCGAAAGTACTTTTGTAAGTTCGTGCGCTGTTTTACTACAATGAATCGCAGTCGATTTAACAAGGGAGACCTATATCGGAAGAAATAACTGCTTTGCACACTTGACTAGAATCATCACAACTCTGAAGGCGATGATGACGAAACGTTAGTCATGGTGAAAATTTGGACAATAACCTCGAGTTAGCTCAATAATAGAGCATGATGTCGCTGAGAGGAAGTGGTTTGTCGCCGTCTCCTACAAAGAAGCTTTATGTATACTCCGTTTTACTCCGTAAGAAATTCACTAGGCACATGCGTGTAGAACCAGCTCCGTCGTAATATCGTAGTAAGCTGCAAATGGTTACCATCTCGCTATGCACAGTGGAAGTAATGGCCTTCATACAAAGAGTGTTATGCTTTTCGTGAATACGACATTGTATGACTGTGCCTAAGAGCATTGTGTCCTTGCTCTTAATAAAAGTTTTACATGAAGCGGTCCTCGTTTCATTTTTTTTCTCCTTTCTATTTTTTCTCATTATTTCCGTGGTTTTTAAAATTGCTCCTTAAAACACCTTTTCACTAAATGCTTGCAGTTGTTTGTGGTTCTCCGAAGGAATTCCTAATAAAGCAAATTATATCACATTTAGTGACTTCTCTGCCTCGTTTTTTCCTTAAGCGTGTTCCGTATTACATAATCTAACGAGGTTTCTAACTCTTCCCTGTTTTTTCTTCATTCATTTTCCATTCATTGTCATCGTTGTCGTTTTCAATGCGATGGTATTTGATGGTGGAGATCTCCTGACGTGGGCCTCAAGGGGCGTGGCTTTCCAGTTGATGCTCCTCCCACAAACAACGTTCCATCAATTTCAGTGTGTTCGTCGTGCGTTCTATTCGAAACGTTCGCCTGTACATCTACATTCGTCCGATTTGACGTGGACCGATCGTGCTATTCAAACCTTCTAAGTGCCTACTAATATTACTTATCGACGTATTTATTTACTGTGCATTCATCAGCACTATGTCCATGAAAAGGAAAAGCTTTTTCATCAGACTTATGAAGTTGGTCGGTAAAGGAAGTGAGTAAATCTATTAGTTTTTTAATAACAAATACTTTTAAAAATTGAATTAGACAACGGAGCGTTTTTAATTTTGTGTACTGCCCGCCAATCCTTGCCTGTTTTGGGAAATTCCGAAAATGTCCTCAAATTATGGTGGAGATACCCAAATCTGAACACTACTGATTACTGGTACTGATTACGATTTCAAACCCTATAAATGAGGAGTGAAAACTGTTATTATTACTATTCTGAGTAAAACTCGAGGCTTCAGCTGGTCTTCGAAGTCGCGACTACCCTGACCGGGGATCATTGCTGATAGTACCGTTAGAGTAAAGAGAAACTGGCTAAAGCAAAAGTAAAACAAGGGCCTCGGTTGCTGTGGGCGATAACACGGAAGTCGCGACAAGGGTAATCGCGGGCTCGAAGCCCATATGAGGTTCGGAGTTCTGCTCATATGGTAGCATCTTTGTGGTTATACTTCCTATCGTACCTTGGCATGAAAAAAGAATAGATAGTGAATAAAAGTTAGGATATTATTATCACTACTATTACTAGTACGACTATTATTATGGTTATGATTATTATTATTATTATCCCCTCCCAACGGTTTACCGCCTCATCGTGGCTGGGAGGTGTTCCTGGGTGTCGGACTGCCATGTACAGTGGGGGATTCATCCCCTAGCAAGGTCTCCCAAGCTGAGAAAGAGTCCGGCGTTTCCATCAGGAAGCCTAGCTAAGAGTAAACCAATACCAGGACCCACCACCGTCCTGGTATCAAAGTCGTACGGTGGTAAATCTCCCTCTGATCCACAAGGGCTGCAACTGCCCGTGGTGGTGAAGACCTGGAGCAGACTTTGGCCAGGCTGACCTCGGAACTCCAGGGAACCATAATGGCTTAACCAGCAAATCTCCGAAAAATGGAGATTATGCTGGGACCCGCACAACCAGTGAGGATGGGCCATTTAAGTATCAAGTAAGTAAGTATTAACCTTTTTATTTACTGCCTATTCTTTTTAACGGCAGGGTATTTTGCGAAATATAACTACTATAATGCTGCGATATTCGCGTTCGCGTTACTCCCTGGAAAGGAAAATAGCGCGTTCGTTGCCCACCGCAGACATCTGCGGTCCGGAGTTTTGCAAATATCTCAACATTATAGTAAGTAAGTATTATTATTCATATCATTCGTGTCAGCTCAATAATCCAAGAAACTATCGATCACTTATGCTGAGATCAAGTAAAAGTGGTTTTTTTTTCGAGAAAAAACTCGTCATGGTATTCTTGAAGTAGAAAAAGTACTGTGTAAGTTGAAGTTGCTTATTTTTTTGTGGAGTGAAGTGACTGCAATATGCATTCTGCTAAGAAATCATAACTCGATTTTCTTTCACCGTCAGAACAGCCGTAGTGTAAAGCTCTCCAGCGGTGGTTGGTTGAAGAAAGGGGTCTGTTTGAAATTTACAACACTTCTCAGCTATAACGCTTGATGTCTTTCCCACACTCCAAAAAAAAACCCTAGAACACTTTTCTAATGGTTATAGAATCTACATAATACCTGGAATTTCGATCAATAGGCATATTTAGTGTGGCAGAGAGAATGATTCACTTTTTTCTCGCTGATCGTCTCCGTTCTCTTCATTTTACTGCTACAGTGCGCCTACAGACAGGCAATTTAAAACTAAAATGACTGTGGAACTCTTCAACATACCTTGTAGCATTTATGGATGTAGATGTTTTCTTTTACTATTTTCTAGATCTTCTCATAGGTCATATATCTTCGTAAGGCGCAGAAAATATCTTCAGCGTTTATCACTCGTCCACTTGACAGTGTTAGAATATTACCTGTAAACCAAATCTGAAAACACTTGGTTCAGAATTTTGTTCAGCGATGTAACCAAGAATAAATCGATTTATTTTGGCTTTTGTTAGCTTATATAGGTGTATGTTCATATAATATTGAAGTTAAACCGACAAACCAACCTCTCTTTTTTTCCGGAGTTCACGAAAGAGTAGTCTACGAGGGTGAAAACACTGAACTGTTACACCGGTAGGACCCTGTAAGCTATAGTATTGATCAAAAATGCATTCATTCATACTACGAATTGAATCGAATGCATGAAGGATCACTAGGAGGCAAAGCAGCGTTCTGGTATTCTACGTTTTAAAACGGCATTGCTAATGATTTTTCTGGCAGATTCAGTTTTCACGTATTCTTTTCATATAAATGTCGCTGAGAAAATGCGATTACAGTAACACTTATGTTCTACACCGTATAGTTTTTAACCTAATGATTTTCACTTAGATTTCTACTACTTTTGTTTACAGACCAAGTACAATCGTCAAAGAACTGTCTGGCACAAATCTACGAGGAGAGGAAGAAGCAGCGGCAGCGGTATGAAAAAGTTCAAATCATTTAGTAAGATTTGCACCAGGAACCTGAACTACAATATATATTTATATGTATATGTAGAAATGATTTTAGTGAAGCTTTAATGAGGTTTAGTGCAGAAAAATTGCTCGTCTTCAAGTATGAATAGTCTCTCTAGGAAACTAAAAAATTAGTATGCATTTAACTTCAATTTTAAAGGCTACCCTATCTTAAAAGAGCTGATTAGATGAAAAAGCAGAAATAAAAAATATTTTTGTATTATCCTGTAAATCGAGGGGAGCGTGTGGCGCAATGGTCGGAGGCGCTCTGCAACACACACATGGAATCGATCTAGGCGCCCATGGACCACCAAGTTTTCCATCCCTCAGAGGTCGGCAAATTGGTACCAGACTTGTCTGGGAGGATGGCAGCTTGACTCGTTACATTGGTAAGCCTCCGCAAGTTATTGCGAAGGCCAGCTATGCATTCAATCACCGCCAAACGATGCTTAATGGAGTCGAATGCATCCTTCAGGGATTGATCAACGCCGAGAGCTTTATTTTTTATCCATTATCTTGTAAATCGAAGAAAAGATTGTGTTACCCAGTTCTCCTTCATGGAACTCATCATGTTTCTGTAATATTCAGCATTTGGCCTTGTCAATCATTTTTACACTAAGTTTAGAAGTTTAGTGTCGAATACGCGGCAACATTTTTTTAAAACAAAAACCACCTGCTTCAATTATTGGAGTAGTAAAAGACTGGTGAGCTGAACAGGCTTTTAAATGAGATTTTGATTATTTTCTTAAGAATAGATTAAATTCTTAGTGGATATAATTTCTATAGAGTATTCCTTCAATATTTTTCAAAGGAGAAAAAACGTTACATTTTCCATTTTCATCAGTCTCGTGTTAGTTTAATAATCTAAGTTCTTTTTAGAAAGTTCTTATCTTATTTCAATCTTATTGTTGCTTACGATTAGAGTGTTCAAAAAGGTTAAGAAGAAGTTTAAATCTTTAAAGTTTCCTACGCAAGGCTAACGACACCTTCATGTTCTGGTGGAGACAAAATCCCACTTAGTCAAGCGCTTTCTCGTTCGACGTACAAACCTTCACGCAGAAAGACCTGAAAAGAATACGTTTTGTAGACTTCAGGAAATAAGGAGTTCAATTTGGCGTAATGATAGACCTTTTTCCTATAGGCGAAAACCTTTGAAATCTAAAGTTTTTTGTTTAGTTTAAGAGAACCCAGTATGAGTTGAGATACGTCAGCTTTAGTGATGATGCAGCCACAATGATGCTGAGATATTTGCAAAACTCCGGACCTCGTGTGTCTACGGTGGGGAACGAACGCGCTATTGTCCTTTCCGGGGAGTAACGCGTTCACCACCACACCATGCGGGTCCTTCGTTTCGCTTGTCTCTCAGCTGGTTTTCTATCGATCAATAATTATGTAGCTAATAATAGTAATGTAATCACACAGTTAATAATAATATGATAATAATTAATGATGGTGATTGAAACTACTATCTACTTATCATATGCATTGAAACCAATGTTTCCCACTATCACCAATGCGTTAGAGTCCAAATGATAAAAAATTTAAAAATTGTTTTCGGTACGAACATCCTCAACTATTGGGGTAATAATGTCGTTCAGTTCAAAAGCGAAATTCTGAAGAGCCTTCAATTCTCTTCCAGGACGAAATAGTGCGAAAATAATGTCTTTCAGATTTGACAGTGATTGATATGAGAAAATTAGAACAGGCGGAGATGACGAAACAATGAATGGACGAATATATGAGTGAGGAAGAGGAAAAAACCAAACGAAATAAAATTTCTTTCGTGAACAGTTTCTTCATAACTGTTATTCTTTCATGTGTATATTTTTTTCACGACGTCTTCGGACCATAGTCGTTCCTATAGAAATAATTTGTAGCTTTAAAACTAAGATGAATGTGGTGCAGTGGTGCAAAAGCAGTTCAGTAGGACGCGTAAAGCGATGGTTCGATCTTGCTTTGGGTCATTCTAGCCTCTATGTCTTCAGCGTCGTATTGTAGGTGTATTGATAAGAAAGTGACTAATTATTCACAGACAACTGTTTGATTTCTAATTTTCTTACAAAATGAAATGAAACGGGGTTTTATAACTTTAAAGAATACGTCTCGTTCTGTAATTTCCTGATTTACTTATTTAAATAGCAGCTGAATAAAATTCCTAACGATTAGCAGAGAGCCAACCGTACGGCTCAGGTGTCAGTACAATTTTCATTCAAGCGGCTGGATTAAATTTCCTTCGGAAATCTTTGGATAGAAGCGTTCTTTGTATTGTCAGTTCCTATCGATTATTATTAGAACCTAATTCTAACATAATAAATGCAATATTATTCATTAGTTGCATTGATTGACTGCTAATGAGCATATTTTTAAACGGCAAATTCCTTCGAACATTACACAAAAGCTCTGCGGTTCATCGTTGTGTTCGGCATATTTCAATAACAACACGATTTAATATTCAACGTATTTAATTCAATAAAGCACAACATGCATTGAGTACAATGCATTGGATTCGAAAGCGATGCCTTTAAAATTACACCAACATGTGTCATCTTATAGTGGACTTTGTAAATTGAAATGATAAATTGGAATCAACAGATCTTTGCCTACAAACCCCAAATTCTTTTATAGTGTCAAAATGATCCTATAGAGCCTACGAAACGTTCTTTTTTTCCCACTTTTTTCCACGTTACGGCTCCTATTTCGAGCTTAAAGATAGCCCGACAGGAGGAATGTCATCCGGTAAGTCGTGGAGATATTTTCCAATACATTGTCAGCTGCCGCAAATGCGTTGAAATCTTGAGAAAAACTATAATTTCGCGCTCTATTTTTTGTGATTTTCAATTCTAAATGTATTTCAAATTAGAATGGTACCTTACAGAAGCTACACATATACATATATATATATAACGGCGAGTGTGGCGCAGTAGTCGCAGGCACTCTGCAACACACACGTGGAGTCGATCTCCGCGCTCATGGCCCACCAAGCCTTCCATCCCTCCAGGGACGACAAATTGCTACCAGCCTTGTCTGGGAGGATTGCAGTACTGGCTCGATACATCGCTAGGCCATTGCGAGTCATTGTAAAGGCCAGCTATGTATTCAATCACCTCCAAACGATGCTTAATGAAGTCGAATGCATGGTGCATTTCTCAAAGATCGATCAACGCCTAGAGCTTCATCTTTTTATCTTTATATGTATATATATATATATATATATATATAATTTGATCGATTAAATCCTATCGTATAACTTTTTAGAGTGCTGAACTCCTCAAATACTTTAATGGTCGAGAAATTATCGTCATTTGTAGAGAAGTCGGTTTTAGACTGAATGTGTTTAAACACTTTATAAAAATAAAGAATCGGTGGAAGAAATAATTGCTGTGTTTGCCGACGTCCTCATAGAAATGCTACCATAACTGTTATAAAAATAAACAATCGATTGCTGAAATAACATCTCTGTTTGCCTATGTTCACATAAAAACACTTCCATAACCACACGATTATGGAAACCATTAAATCTCTCATACAAATGATCCGTCTATTCACTGAAACTATCATGCACTTCTATACGCATCATCTTATTCTAAGCTTAATACTCTAAACTTAACTTGTCTCATTGACTTAGTAAAAGGACAAAAGATAAAGCTCTCGGCGTTGAGCAATCCCTGAGGAATAGCCTATGCATACTTCCACTTCCTCTCTCCATTCTACTTCATCAAGCATCGTTTGGAGGTGATTGGATGCATATCTGTACTTTACAAAGACTCTCGGTGGCCTACCGATGTATCAGACCAGTGCTGCTATCCTTCCAGATAAGTCTGGTACCAATTTGACGTCCCTGGATGGATGGAATGCTTGGTGGGCCATGGGCACGGGAATCGATTCCACGTGTTTGTTGCAGGGTACCTCCGTCCACTGTGCTACACACCCTCTTTGTGACTTAGTGTTGTGCGAAATCTCTGTTACGATTATATCCGTGCATCGTCAATTTTGCAGTTCATTTTTTCCAAAGTTTTCCCTAAAAGTATTAAAAACAAATTTTAATTTCGTTGTTACGTTTAGGTACTGTATTTTATTGTACATTGCGTTTAGATCTTCGCTCTCATCACATCTATCGCCTAAAGAACCGATGCCAACAATTTTTGAAGAAGACGAATCATCGTTTAACGGTTATGAAGAGTACGTTCAAACCTAACCTCATTTCATTCACTGTTCCGATCAGTGGACTCGCTGGACGAGTTGTCACATGCCAGCTCGACTAGAACGTCCGAGTTTTCCGTGAATTGTACTGTATAGGAATTCAGTTACTTAGTGTTCTTATGTTGAGTTCTCATGTTAAAATTCACCGCTAACATTTGGTGAAAATGTTACGCAAGTTTTGTTTCTATTTCGGGTCCTGACATTTAAATTAAATGGGGGAAAGTTTGCTGTAGATGGAATGGCAGATCAATATAGATCATTTGTACAGGTCTGCAGTGGTCAAATGCGTTTTCTTTGTCGTAATCTTTCGTCACATTTTCTCCCTCTCTCTCTCTATCTCTCTCTTTCTCTCTCTCTTCTCTCTCTCTCCCTTCTCATTACAACGGGTTCGATTTGCAATTGTTTGAACATTTGTAAGAAGAAATGCTGAGTGTCACTACATGTGTTTTGATGTATTGTTCATGTTACATCAATTGAAAAATGCTTTTAACAAACATGTTGTTAATCAGTCTATCAGTCTAAAGGTTCCGACCATAAAGGTGAACATCCTTCTCTTTAGAGAATCATTAAGGAGCTGAAAGCATATTTAAGAATGAACTCGTTCAACAGAGATATATTCAATCAATGCCGAGGTAAATAGAAAGTCGGACTTGAGAGATATCAGTAGTTAAAACAGAACACTTTGGAGATGTTTTCGTGATCGTTTATTTGTTTATAACATTTATCACACTGTGCAGATACCAGAAATTGTTGAATTCGATTCGTTTGCTCATATCCTTCATCCTTGAAAGGTCATCGGACTTTTGGCGACTGTGTTCAGCTGGTGTTTGAGGATTGGCGTCTTCATTGTGAATGTCATTGTGGTC